AGGATGTTCAATGGCACGGCTATAAGTGCCGACGCGCTTCACCGCTTGTCCATTGATCGGAGGCCGACGCTCAGATCGCCGCTATCAGTTCCACTGTGTTAGTTTATACTGACTTCCCGTTTACAGGCCAAAAATTCAGCTCAATAAACAGTTTTCATCTGAATATCCAGCCTGCCACCTTCATCGACGTCCGGGTCCCATGCCAATACTTTAGTGTTATCCCAGTACATCGCATGCTAGTTTTTTCGCGATTCATGCCCCTTGACGTTACGGAGACGTGGTTCTCACACTGATGCAGGTGAGTCAGTGCGTGACTATTCTGCCACAAGGTCGTGCCAGCCACCATGTTAGATCAGAGATGTTCCGTGCAGAGAATTTTCGCTTCTTCAGAAAATTTTCACCTGTCATTGTGAGCCAAAGGGGAAAAGGGTATGTTTGGGATATTGCAGGGAATTTCAAGAATGGTTAAATTCTCCTGTGATGACCTATAGTTAGCGGTCACAGTGTGCCTTCACTTCATCTTCTCTAATCGGCTCTGGCGCGTGCACCACGCAAGCAGAGCCTTGGAGATTTCTTTCTGTTATTTGCGCGGAGTGATTTCTTGTTCACTAGGGGTGTTAGACTTGAAGCCCACAGTGTGCAGTGTGCTAATATCAAATATTGAAGTCGTGCTTTGTTATGCGGCAGTAGAGGGGCTAGCCACGACTTTAAAAGTTGCCAGTGCGAGTGACACGTGTAATTATAAGATGTGTGTGCGTGGATGGGGGCATGAATTAGTACTGTTGCGCATTGAAATATGCTGGGAATTCCGTCAACGTTTGAAGGGAAAAATCTTTGAAATAAGGAATTTTATTGTCTCTGAATGGGAATTCTTCCGCGTAGTAAGGAACATCACTGCGTTGATTCTACTTTTAGCGTTCGTGGCGCTTCGCGAAATCTAACAACTGTCACGCAAACAGCTACGTTTGTTGAGCTATGCGAAAGGGTCATAACATTCGGAGTTCTACGTCTCAAGTCCACCATATGAATGTGAGGAATGCCGTAGTGGAGGGCTCCTGGAAATTTTGACCATCTCGTGTTCTTTATTGTGCACTGACATCGCAAACTACAATGGTCTCTACCATTTCGCCTCTATCAAAATGAGACAGCTGCTGCAGAGAACGAATCCGCTACCTTCGGATCAACAGCCGCGCACCCCAACCGCTACACCACCGTGCCGGACAGTGGTGCGAGAGGAAAGCCTCTGGTAATGCTCACGTCAGGCCTGTAGGCAGGGATATTTGGGGAACGGGTGGGGGCTAGATTCGTTAGAAGTATTGAAAACACCTACTCTAAGTATCAGTTCTTAGTAAAACACCGCAGAACGTTCGATTGTCAGAGAGGGGGAAGAGGCTATGGCACACTCCCTGGCGACGTGCCTGGTTCAGATTTTTTACTTACAAGACGTTGATCGAATGAAAATGTTGCATGTTGCCGGCAGATATAGCCTTGCTAAATTTGCAGGTGATTGCCCCACCTGGTTTTATTGTTTCAGATTATATTCAAATGTTGTCCTTGACAAAGCAAAGTGAAAGGCGGGCTACCAAGCGCCGATATTACGACACCAGCTCCCAGACTTCTGCATAAACCGGCCTTTTGAGTAGCTTAGCGAGATCTGATTGTGATGGGCTTGCTCATACAGCGACACCACCACGAAGCACGTTATGAAAAGCTAACGGTGAGGAAACGACAATATATGATAGCATGAGTGAAAACAAATAACAGCAACTTTTTTTACTGACGTGTACACAAAGTGCCGTTCATAATACCAATAATCTTGTCATTTCTATGGCTACCGCTTCCAAAGGTTGGTAGTTTTTTAAACGAAAAAACAAAGGAGATTACAAGAAGAATGTTTGTATCTGCTATACTTCATAGTACATAGGTTTTATACAATATTAAAAAAATATATAATAACGACCACGTTCAGCATGCGGTGATGCTTATGTACAGAAAAGTGGTATTAGTTTAAGGTTTGATACATCACAGAAATGGCAAAACAGGTAATATTCGAAAGAATTTTGAAGATGTCACTGCGTTAAAAAAGTATTTTTTTTTCTATTTGTGCGTGGACAAGGCAAAACCTTACTCAGAAGTGCGAGACACTGAGGTTTAGGGAGGTCGGTTAACTCACGAGTTACCTTACTAGGAAACTAAAATACCCCTCCAGGATTGCTTGCTTGATTGATTGATATGTGGCGTTTAACGTCCCAAAACCACCATATGATTATGAGAGACGCCGTAGTGGAGGGCTCCAGAAATTTCGACCACCTGGGGTTTTTTAACGTGCACCCAAATCTGAGCACACGGGCCTACAACATTTCCGCCTCCATCGGAAATGCAGACGCCGCAGCCAGGATTTGAACCCGCGACCTGCGGGTCAGCAGCCGAGTACCTTCGCCACTAGACCACCGTGGCGGGGCTCCAGGATTGCTTGAAGAATATTAACTAGCGAGGCTAGAAATTGTGGCTTTGGTGGTTTCAAGGTTTTTAACTAGGCTAATTAATGAAGATATATAGTCGCTTACAGGGCACTCTGGCATACGTGTTTTTTTTTCTTCGTCCGTGTGTCATAGTGCGCAGTAAGCTATCCTAGAATTTATCCCCAGCTTACTTGTAACCGCGACATCCGGAAAGTTCTCAGTTATTTGATGTGTGTGTCAAGAAATCTTCATTGGTACTTACCGCCCACGTGTTCCATTCGTCGTTCATAGTAGATGGGTGGTTTAATGTGCAGTAACTACAGCATAGTAATTTAAAACACCGTTAGTTGTGGAGGGCTCCAGAAATTTGGACTACCTGATGTTACTTGGCCTGAACTTAGGTCTAAGTATACATGAGCTTCGAACATTCTCGCCTGCGTTGAAAGCACGGCCACCGCGTCCTAGTTCATATCGCGCAACTTCGGACCAGCAGCCAAGCACCATAGACACAAGACCACCTGGGTGGGTTGTGGATTGCTGTTTGTCTGCTTCAAACTTCATCGGAGAACCAGCGCGCATCGAAGTGTTAAAAAATACCTGCGGCTCTTATTTGCAAACTTCTTATGCTAACTACAATATATGCTAACTGTATGTATGGTACACTTCAGTTTTTCATTATAATGTTTGCCTTTTCTGAATTTAAATGAAGCAAACTTCATTGATTTATAGAAAATTTCAAGGTTTCGTTTCGCTCACCATATAGCCCATGTTTCCGCTGTTTGTTTCGCTAGGTTAATGCCTACTAGTTTGTAATTACGAAATAGTTATTTTTCACCTTTAGTTTTTAGGTGTTTGCTGTTGTTCCTATCTAAAACCACTGTACAGTTTCGGCACACCCACCCACAAATATCACTGTGATTTTGCGTAAACTCACTAAGCCATTCGGTGTACACTTCTGAGCAGTATTTCATAGATTGATAAAATTGCACGATTTCCTTGAATGTAAGCGATTCAGACATAAATTTACCGCAGTAGGTTTCGAAGAAGCACATTATTGTCACCAATGGCACCTTCCGAAAAGTGGGCGAGGACCTTAGACGGCTACAACATTGAAAGAACAAATATTCTCAATGGCCCCTCCTCCCGCAACAGCAACTTTCTTTCCACATATAGAGGGCATAAATGAAGAATTTCATGCTTGTCGAATTATCGTAATGTGCAACACTGCTGCAAAATGGTTATCACTTTTACTGTCATGCCTATACAAAGTGCAGATGTCGCCGTCCGCTGCGCACTGCTACGAAACCATGGTGAATTATGGTACGCTCAAGCGGTATGACTGTACTATAATCATCTTCTCAAGGAAAACATGGGAAATGCTGTAACTACTGAAATATCTAGAGATTGCAATTATTCATGTATCATACTATTATAGGCTTTTGTATTAAGTTGTTAGTAGGTTCACCTGATAAAATTCAATAAATAAATATGATGGATGTCTAAATTTATTCTGTTAAATCTAATCCTGACTATATTCTCTCCCGCTTCAAACAATTACCATCAAACCTTTGAGGAGAACGCGATAAGAAAAATGAGAGCATTCCCACTGGCTAGGCATGAAGGCTTGAATTTTAATATCTGTCTTATTCTAAAATGCGCTGACAACATGCAGTGGGAAGTAACACTGAAGCGAACACCGTTTTAATGGCTGAAAAATTCAACAATGTCCATGACCGACCGGTACATGAAACTTTTCAGACACACTGTGCATGGACGCCTCCAATAGATGGCGCGATGTTGTGTGGCGTGTGGTCGAATGTGACCCCAAATACTTCTGCGCCAGACGTCCTTCAAAGCTTCGATAAGCAGGAACAAAGGCCCCGATGTGTTGCTCTTTTCCAAAACGGAAGTGGCGTGTGCGGCTCGGAAGGGCGGAAGCAACGGTCTGTCGCCGAAGTGTCTGAAACAAACCGAGCTTCATTGCCCTAACGGAAGTGGCGGCTAATCGAACTTCCTTTGCCCCCCCCCCCCCCCCTCTTTACCCACTCCGCCATTTTACATGTCCCTCGCATTGCCACCCACGTGTTGTTGGTCCTCATCCGCTGCCGTGTTGCGGTGCCGCAAGGCGCGACTAATCATGCAAGTCGCTTTACCGAGGAAGTGAATAATCGGGCCGTGCGTAACCAGTGGCAATGTCGAGGACGCGCAACGGAGCGCTGTATTCTTGGTTCCTGGAAAGCCGAGAAAAGTGTAGCGATGATCAAGGAGTCCGGAGGGCGCTGCGATCGATAGTGATACACGTCGACTATTGTTGAAAAAGATACGACCGATCTCCCTTCGCTTCCTCCTCATGCCTTGCACCCATGAGTGTGGAGAAACGAAGGGTAGGCGTTCCACGGAGGAAATTGATACGTCAAGCACAAAAACAAAAAAAAGAAAGGAGTGTAGAGGAGAGAGAGAAAGAAACGCGAACTAGATACGCTTATCGTAAGGCGGCAAGCGGCTCCAAAGGTCTCAGTACCCGTGCAAAAACGAATCTCTCTCAGCGGCACATTGTGGTCGCCCCGTGCAGATTTTTGCTGTCGCAGGGGCAGCGCTGCATAGGCCGGTGACAACGGGGCAGCCACAGTGACCGGGAGTACGACTACGTGTCCCGCTGCGGAGGACGGCGTAATATGCACTCGGCTTTCGCGATCGCGCGTGCAGCTGTGCGCGTCGCCGCAACATGACGTCCGCGTCCCGAGCTCTCCGGTGTTTTTGCTCGTGATGGGGCGTACTCGAACGTGGCGAAGGACGTTGCCCGTCGCATCGCTCGCATGGACGGGATTTTACGCGTTCTTCTTCTGCTCTGCGCTGGCGGTAAGTTGCCCAGTTCATGGTCATTGCGTGTTACATTTGCTTCCAATTAGTTTTATCAATCGTGGGTCACTGAACCCGACTTGAAAGTCGGCTAGAAGTTACACAGTTTCCTTATGTCTGCTTAGTGGTGTCGCGTATTATCAAAACTGTCGGCCGCCCCGCCGCGGTGGTCTAGAGGCTAAGGTACTCGGCTGCTGACCCACAGGTCGTGGGTTTGAATCCCGGCTGCGGCGGCTGCACTTTCTATGGAGGCGGAAATGTTGTAGGCCCGTGTGCTCAGATTTCGGTGCACGTTAACGAACCCCAAGTGGTCGAAATTTCCGGAGCCTTCCACTGCGGCGTCTCTCATAATCAGTGGTTTGGGGATGTTAAACCCCACGTATAAATCAATCATCATCAAAAATGTTGGCAACTGTCGACGTATCATTGAATTCTGAAACTGGAGATGAAGCAGTGCAGGTTTTGTACAAGGAAGGTTCTATGCAATCCTCAAAGCCAGCATTTCCTAACACGTACGCGAATCGGACCTTTAAGCGGCGTGTTGTCAAGTGCGTACTTGCCACAGTACTCGACGTACTCGGAGAACAAGCTTGCTGCGTCATATTCCGGTTGCTGCAGTGTGAGGGGCGTGACCTACCCAGCAACAAACATTAACGCCACACTGCTCACTCCTACCGTTGAAGAAGGTACCTGAGCTCAAACCGTAAAACATTAGAGAGAAATACGAGCTTCAGTAAAATGGTGCGCGTCGATTAGTTCAGAAATGTGAAGAACAGCAATTGGAAGCGTGGTTGTGGTGAAAGACTCAAATATATTTAGGCTAAGCGCAACAAAAAAATTTTCGCCTGAGTGTTGCGCTTTGTGAGAAATTTATTCGCACAGCTTCCTGAAAGGAAATGAATGATCTGCCTTTCGAAGAGGAAGATAGAAGAAGAGCAAACATGCCATCGCAATATGAACCGTTGAAACGTCAACGTTTTCGGTTCTGCAGAACGATAAAAAAGTAACGCCTGATATGCAAGGGTTGGCGCTTTCGATGCACGCTAACTTGCATTTTGCTTTGTTTGTTTAATGGCGCGCTTAATATTGTGCGCAATACATGGGTAGCTTTATCTTTAAGAGAATTTTGTTTACATATATGCGCTATCACAGACAAGGCCGAGTGCAATTAAATCAAAAGATAAGTAATACTAATTTCCTGTATCAGCTATTTTCTAGATACTTTCCGGTAGTAATAATTACGGCTGATTGGTTCGGCAGCTATACCAGTGGTACTTCCGTGTAGTTGAGATTGACCACATGATCGAAACTTTATCGCAATAATTGGAGCTTGGGTCATCATAGCATATGGCTTCTATGTTGAAAACAACGCGGCAGCGTTGAATGATTCATTCCGAACGGGATAAACCAAGCTTATCGTCAAACGGAACCGCACTCCACTGATATGGTGTTGCCGTGGTGCCGTGTCGCTAGCCTTACGCACTCCTACAAATATGCTGAGTTAATTAGGGTTGACCCAGCTGTCCTATTACGTGCCAGAAACGCCCTCTGATCAGGCATGCTGTAGTTGGAAACTTATGATTGGTTTTATCATCTAGCGTTCAATAACGTCTGCTCCACTCGAACTGCATGGTCACTTAGCATCCCCCCCCCCATAGTTCGGCCACTGTTGGCGGACTCTGCGCCCCCTACCCTCACCTATAACTCATCGTAGATTACCAGATCTGATGACGAAGACCTAATTGAAAAGGGCTCATTTTTTAATACTTCTCTGGAGGCTTCAGGGTGCTCAAAAAGCCCACGCAGCATCATGACCCACAGAGTTATGAATATCCTCGAATTGACAGTTGCATGGATTTACGTCAAGTGAAACCAGTATGCACGCAACGAGGAAGTTCTTTTGCCGTGCTTAGAAAAAAAAAAAGCATACTTTGTAGAGGCACTTCATTTTGTACCTTTTACTATTTGCGCATTTTATTTCTTGATTGAAAGATTACCAGCAGCGCACTCGGGCATATCTTCAAAGCGGCTAACACACAGATTACTGGCATTTTAAGCCTGAACATATAACAACAACAAAAAATAATAAGCATTCGTATCTGCCTTGGTTAGGTACATCAAGATTTCGCAGTTGTCAGCACTGCACCACGAGACAATTCCATTATTTTATGCACTATCGTTACGAGAACATGAACAATGTTTTCACTTTAGGACTAGACTGCCTAAAACACAAACACAAACACAAACAGTATTTTCCTCGATACTATGGAAGAGAGAAAGAGAGCTACTCTTCAATCGCATTTTACTAAAGTGCTGCTACACAATCGGCCATTTTTTATTGTTCTTTTACATGAACGAGGCTACGTGAAGCAGGATGACTTTCTTTGCAGCTATCAAATTTCAGAGAATACTCACATCGGACGTTGCTTGACGAAACAGCGGCTACGGTAGTCTGCTGCTGTTCCGGTCATCACGGGTTCAATTCTGGTTGCTTTGGTGGAGGCGAAGTAGTAAAGGCCTGTGTACTGTGCGATGCCGGTATTTGTTAACCAACACCAGATGGTCTAAATTTTCGGATTACTGTACTATGGTGTCCGTCCTAATCATATCGGGATTTCAGGACGTGAAAACGCTAGACATTATTATCTCTGACGTTGCCTCGAAACAGTTATGGTGTACCAAAATGTTAACGTGATTTAGAATGTTGTCAAATGTATGTGACGTCACTTGACGAGTTGCCTTTGGATGATAAATTTAGAAAAAAAAAGCGTCTTCATTGAAAGACGTTCAGAATATTATTTTTTAATCACAGCAAGCTGGCTTGTAATAAATGTAAAACTGAAATATACTGAACGGTAATGTGTACTATAAATTGTATCTTGAAGAACTGAAAGAGTTCACACACAGGAAACTGAAGCAGTCTATATAGCTGTAGGCAACGCCACAGCCCCCCCCCCCCCTCCTAACTCGCTCTTTCTCTAAATGCATGTTTGTTCGGTACATACACGTACAGTATTTGTTCACACTCAATATTGTATTTGGATGTTCAATATTCATTTTCTGCATGGTTTCTGCTCATATTACAAGATATTTTCCTATACGACTCATTTAACCTGCTCGTAGCACATGCGATATCATTACCATTAGCTGGAAAAACTTCATTTTGTTTGTTATCGTGTATAAATAGTGAAATATTAGTGGAACTAGAACCGTTAAGCATACATACCCCGTCCATTTCAAAAGCATATAAAATGCTAATATGAATCGCTTCTGTTGGAACGCGTTACGTTTCGAGTTAACAGAAGTGACGTGAACATAATAAAAGTTTGTGTGAGCATCTAAAGGCCTCACCAATGGCACTTGTTTAGGACGTCTTTGTGTCCTCAAACGCAATAGTTAGTCACATTTCGTGCATGGTTAGAGTAAAACTCGGAACCATTTGGTTCCGAGTTACACGTGCAATGCGACAGTGTAGCGGGTGTGGTTTTCGTCTGCAGACTCACGTCATATTGAGTCATATCTTGGTTTAGGCGTGTAAAATCCTAGAAAAATATCACACAAGTTTTCTCACTTGCGCGTTTTCTCGAGTTAGCAAATGTGCTCGGCTACATATATTTTGCGTTCAGCAATACTTATTCGCATTCTAGTAAATACATTACACGATATTTGTTAGTTTGCTGCCTCGTACTTCTGCTCGTGTGTTGTTCTGAGCCATGGAAAAATCAGCCCTAATAAACAACCTTCTTGCGAAATGAGTCATTGTCTCGTTAGAAATGTTTGTATCAACTTTCGCCTGCCTCAGCTCTTAGAAGCTAAGGCTATCGTCATATGTGCAGGAGTTCGAAAAAAGAAACGCTTCTATGTGACTCAGTTGCATCGCATCCGCTAAATAGAGAAGCGAGGCGTCGATCGCAAAAGCGGGAACTTTTCAGTCACAGGCGATGTGTTCAAGTAACGCCGGATGTTGCAAAGACGCCGCATGTCGAACTTATTGGGCAAGCACGTCGCCTTTAGACGACTCAGTCAGGCATATCCTTTGCTGACCTGTTGCAAAACTGTTATGCATTAGTGCGTGAACGAAATTGTATCTATCTGAACAGCACTTGCGCAATCTTCCTGAATTTTATTAGTTAGGATACAAAATGTGTGACGTACGGACTTCGAATCAAAATTTTCAGCGCCAATCTCCGATAGAATTCAGTTAAGTGTGTATCAGAAAAGGATTGCAGACTTACTTTGCAATACGGAAACTGCATATTTGTATAGCTCGTATTGGTATATCCTTCTGAGAATTTTTTCGTTTTCATTTTTTTCATACTTGTGAGCTTTGCATAGCTTCACACGTTCTTTATAAAGCATCGTTTTCGCACACTATCGTGTGATAGTACAAAACTGTTTTATGTAGCGGGAGGAACTGCAGTAGGTCCTGCGAATGTAAGCTGTAGTTGCGAAACGTGATTCTGGTATAACACTGGAAGGAACTTAAGGCATGCACATACTAAGACACTATTAATACAAATTGGTGAGGGTATATCTGGTATTTGAGGTTTTTTTTACATTTCAAAATGCTATGTAGGATTACTGCTCGATGGTTTTCAAAGGGAGAAAAAGGCCTCAAAATGAACAATGAAACTAGAACTACTTTTTTAAACAAAATGAAAGAAATAATGACGATTAAAGCATTTATAAGCGTGCTCTAAAATAATGACAGGAGGCAACTAAAGTGTTTTCTTTGAAAAAAAAAACTAAACGTAGGGGCAGTCTTAAATTACCAAGAATAAACACAAATATATAAAAAGAATTGCCTGCGTCTGAAGAACTTCATTGAATTGAGAATGCTTATTGCTCAAACATAATCAGGTAAAAATATGCACGGCGTCAGAATGGGACGACCTTAAATAATGTTTTCGATTTAACCCAAACCTGATGGATTGGAAAGCGAAGCAAGCTTTGGGTGGGTGTAGCCGTAGTGAGCTAACGTGCATTACCTGGAGGTTGAA